GGAAGGGGGGCGCCTGATCTCTGGGACCCAGGGCACGGGGCTAGCCTCTGGGCACCACCGGCCTGGCGGCTGCACGTGGGGGCAAAAATGGGGAGGTGATGCTAGAGGACCTGGGTCCTGCGGAGTTGGAAGCAAGCATCGTCTGATAGCCTTCCCAGTCCTGCTATTCACCCCCCCCCCCAACCCCGGTTTCTTTTTTTCTTTTCTTTTTCTTTTAATTTGGTAAGCGGAAACTTGAGCGCCTCCCTGACCCTGGCCTTCGGTCTTTCTTAATCTGGGAGACAGGCTGGACCGTTCTTGCCTTACTTGACTCACGTCAAGGAGTTTTCAATGTCTCCCTGGATACAAGAAAATCTAGACCTCTTTCAGAATGGGAGAATTCCACTTGTTCTGGAGCTTAGTGGGTGGAGTTTGAAAAACATTGCACAACGAATAGGGTACAGGGCTTTCAGGACCCAGGAACGAAGAATTGCGTGGAAGGTGGAAACCCCGTCTCTTTTTCAATGCAGGTGAACATATTGAAACGTTCAACTTGTTGGACGTCCTGCTTGATCACTCAAGGCTATTTAATATGACATAATTATGTATTTGACTAATCTTAAAAATCACTCCTCTATGAAATTTCGTAATAATATTTTTCTAATGCGATTCATGAACTTCAAAAGGGAGAACAAAGGTCCGGTTTACATTTGAGCAGAGTGTCGAGGATTGGCTTTTTGGGGCCTGTTTTCTAAGGTTGGGTATTTTCATGTCTTTGCGTGAGAGTGTTACTCCTTCTCAATTTCCTCTCTCTTTGTATTCTAAAAGAAAGATCCAGTGCTTGGCTTGTAGGATTGAGAATGAAGCTGTGGATTCAATGTACTTTAGGGATTCTACACTGTCACTTTGGACACTTGACTTATTCCCTAAGGGTGGGAAGCCAGTCTCAGTGTTTGATTTCATAGGTTCCCAGGGGAGAATTCTGATAAAAAGCCACTGCAATTGAGGACATAAGTGCCCTTTTATACCACTAGGTTAAGGACAAAAAGTCATTGAATTAGGAACTGAGGCTTAATCAACTAGCGTATTAAACGACAAAGATAGGAGGTAATGACTCTTTGAGGTACTGAGCTCTGGTTAACAGCTAGATATGAAAAGTCATGTATTTCTACTGTCTTATTTTTGTTTTGCTCGTAGTCCTTTCTTTGCTCATCCTTTTCTGGGAAACTTGTCCTTTTCGTTTTTTCAACTTACTATAACATGGAATTGAGATTCATGGTTAAATATCAATTTTCATAAAAAATGGGTGACTATCTTTTGTCTGCAGAAATCATTTTTAGTTAGTCCTTATGATCCTTTAAAAAATTTTTCTCTAGGTCACTAACTTGGGAAAATATTCCTTAATTCTGATTTAACCTCTACCCTCTTTTTCAGGAAGCAGAAATGAATTGAGTTGTTTTAAAACACTGAAGAAATGAAAAGAAAAATGATTGTTTTGTCATTATTTGGTTACGTCTCGAAATGAGAAAAATTGGACATGGGCTTTATTGATTCCTGGTAGTTTGAACCCTTTACCTGCTCACTTTTTTTTTTGGTGGTGGTGGTGGGGGCAGTTTGGTGTTGCTAGGACAGCTTTGAACTGCTGGGTTCCAGTGCCTATTCACTCTTGACCCTGGGAGTTAATTTTGGCATTGTTTCATAACTACATCTATTTGAATGGTCTCTTGATATAACTAGGGGTTTATTGAGGAATTGTCTTAAACTATGCTGGTATGGTAGCTGCTAGCCACATGTGACTATTTAAATTTGTTAGTTAAATAAAATTTAAAAATTGTGTTCCTCAGTCATACTAGTCAAATTTCAGGTGTTCCAGTAGCCAGTGTGGCTAGTAGCTATTGTATTAGAGCAGATCTAGAATAATTTCCATTCAATTAAGTTCTGTTGGGCAGCATTGGTCTAAAAAAAATGGGCGTATTCTATCGAGCATTGCAGGCATTTTATTTATTTAGTTTTAACTTATTTTTATTTTTTGGCACTGGGGATTGAACTCAGGGGCACTTAACCACTAAGCCACATCCCCAGCCCTATTTTGTATTTTATTTAGAGATAGGGTCTCACTGAGTTGCTTAGTGCCTCGCTTTTGCTAAGGCTGACTTTGAACTTGTGATCCTCCTGCCTCAGCATCCTGAGCCACTGGGATTACGGGCATGCGCCTGGCTTATTATTTTTATTTTTTGTAGTTCTGGGGATTGAACCCAGGGGCATTGTACCAATGAACTACATCCCCAACTGTTTTTATTTTTTAGTTCTCATTATTTTTTTTAAATTTTGATAAAAGATCTCAAGTTGCTCAGGCTGGCCTTGAACTTGTGATCCTCTAGTCTCAGTCTCCTGATTATCTGGGATTACAGGCGTGTGCCACCATGTCCGGCACCACATTAACTCTTTAAGCATCACTCAGATGCTATGGAGAAGGCTGGGTAGTTGTCATTGCCCTCATTTACTGATGACAAACTGCTCAGCAAGGTCAAGTGATTTGCCCAAGGGGTAAAGCCGAGTCTGGAACCCAATACCCTTTCATCTACAACACAGTAATAAGTAGTGTAGCAGTGGGTAAATAGTATGGATTTTAGAGTCAAGACTCTTGGCTCTCTGCCACTTACTAGCTGTGCAACCTTGGGCAGGTTGCTCAATCTGTAAGCCTCATTTGTATCATCTATAAAGTGGGGATGATGCTAATATCTACCACATTAAGATTTTTTTTTTATATTTTATTAGTTGTTGGTGGCCCTTTATTTATTTTTTTATGTGGTGCTGAGAATTGAACCCAGTGCCTCACACATGCCTGGCAAGCGCTCTACCACTGAGTCACAACCCCAGCCTCCACATTAAGATTATTGTAAAGAATAAGTCATCCCCCCCCCCAAGTATTGTTGATTGAACCCAGGGCCTTGTGCAGGCAAGTGCTGTCTATGGAACTACACCCCAGCCCCCTTTTTGTGAATAATAAGAGTTGATCTGACACTTGGCACAGTGCAGGGCATGTAGACTTTTGCATGGTTTGGAGGGGAAAATATATGAAAGGTTTCTTTCTCTCAGGGTGCTGTTAATTTTGTAAATTCATCTTCTAACCTTTGTATTCTTCCCTCTTCCTAGAATCTCTGTATGATTAACATAATGAGGAGAAATTAGGGTTGGACAAGAATACGAGGTAGGAAGAAACCATTTTATTAATCTTGTTTTTTTTTCCTCATTTGTCAACTTGATGAACTTCCACTTTTCTGGCACAAATATTAAGTAATAAGAAGTAAAGTGACCTTCTTTTTACAGCATTGTTTATAACTATATTACCAAGCTTTGGTAAATTTCATTTTTTATAGGATTCCAACTGGAAAAGCAAAGAGACCAGATGCAGCACAGTCTTCTAGTAATAAAACATTTTTGTATTGTAATAATGTCATATTTATTTGTTATGTTATTGGAAATTTTTTATCATTAATATCGGTCTTTAGGAAACTGTATGCCAAATACAGATGACATAAAATGGTGTGTATTTCTTTGTCTTCCCCCCCTTCCCCGCTGGAGATTGGACCGAGGGTGTCGCACATGCTGGGCAATTACTCTATCACTGACCTAAATACCCAGCCCCTTTTGTGGGATTCTTTACAGGATTCACTATAAGAGGTTTCTTTTAAATAGATATACTGTTCATATTTTATACTTTTCAGATTTATATTTCAAAGGAAAGAAATTTGCTCAAATTTCATTTGTTTCATGCACTGTTAGGCAATTTAAATATGCCTAACTCGGCAGAGTAGGTGGTACTCCGGGTATAGATAAGGCATCTGAAGCTCAGCCAAAAGCAGATTTGCTTAAATAATAGTTCATAAGACTGGGGATGTGGCTCGAGCGGTAGCGCGCTCCCCTGGCATGCGCGCGGCCCGGGTTCGATCCTCAGCACCACATACAAACAAAGATGTTGTGTCTGCCGAAAACTAAAAAATAAATATTAAAAAATTCTCTCTTCTCTCTCTCTCTCTTTAAAAAAAATAATAGTTCATAGTAAAGTTTGTCTAGAGTTGATATATAATTGTGTAATTGATAGTGTAATAGATGGCCCCTCCTGCAAGGGCAGTTTCTGCCTACCTAGTAAGTTTCAATCAAATAGTCTCAAGAAATCCCTTTGCCTCTTCTTTTCCTTCCTGACTTCTTCCCAGTTTCTTTTTTTGTTAGGTTCTAATATGATATGAGTAACATTTAGTTAATATAATGAATGTGTCCATATTTTAAAATTTGTGAAACTGAGCTGGCTGTGTGGCCCAGTGGTAGAGTACTTAGCTAGCTTCCATGAGGCCTGGGTTCCATCTCCAGCCCCACAAAAACAAACAAAAAATGTGTAATATATACAAGTATAATATAGAAGTTATTTATTTGTTGGTGGTGTTGGGAATGGAAACCAGAGCCTTGCACATGGTAGGCCAGTGCTGTACCGCTGGGCCACACCCCCAGCCAAGTTTAATGTAGTATTCATCAACATTGAGAATTAGATACATTTAAGTTTTTCCAGGTGGGACATTTCCAGAAGGAGCTAAAAATAGGTCAGTGACCTTTAAGATCCATTCAGACACAGAGAGTGTATTTTTATGATTTTATTTACTTACTAGTTGAAATTCTCTTGGCACTTAGAACTACTTAAATTTTATTACTTGAAGAAGAAGATAAATAAAATGACCAGTGATGTCCTTCTATACTATTAAAATAATTTATTAGCTTTTATTGCTTTGAGTGTTGATTTGTATTTTCTCTTTTGGGCGGTGCTAGGATTGAACCCAGGGCTGTGTACATGCTAGGCAAGCACTCTGCCACTGAGGTAAGCACCCTCAGTCCCTGTTGATTTGTATTCTGTTTCATTTTCAAAGTGTTCCCAGAATGACCTTCATTATCCTCCACTTCACACCCTTTAGTCTGCTATGGGTAATGTTTACTTTTAAAACCACCACTTTTTCATTTTTATTGTTTCTCTACTCTTAGAAAGGTCAAGGTAGAATGACTTGGTGAGAAGATATGCTAATAGTTTAGATGAACGTTTCTTTTTTTTTAAAAAAAATTTTAGTTGTAGATGAACACAATACCTGTATTTATTTATTTTAATGTGGTGCTGAGAATCGAACTCAGTGCTTCCCACATGCCAGGCAGGTGCTCTAGCACTGAGCTACAACCCCAGGCCCTAGATGGACATTTCCTTAATAGGATATTTTGGACTGAAATGTGGGCCATGTTAAAAGTTAAAAAAAAAGATGCCTTTTGTAAAATAATTGTATTAAAATATCATAATAGATCTTTGGTGCAGCTGTAGTGTATATTCATTAGGTCTGATCTTCTTGCAACTATAGAACGTAGCTACTGTATATCCCTAGTTTACAGGTAAAGAAACTTAAGAAGTTGACTTCCCTGTGGCTACACAGGTAGTAATAAGTGATATATTAAAGTTTGGGTTCTTTGGGCTCTAAGGGTATCATCCATATTCCCTATATTTTATGCTCTCTTCACACTTTTTTTTAATGGTGCTGGAGATGGAACCCAGGGCCTCCTGTGTGTGTGTGTGTGTGTGTGTTAGTGCGCGCGCGCGTGCATGTGTGTGTCTGCCACTAAACTGTGTCCCCAGCCCAAGACATTTATTGAAGATAGTAAAGGTCAGACTTTTTCATGTGGGCAAAACTTTGTGGTAGGTAAAACAAGTAAGTTTTTGGTAAATGAAAAGAAATTATGAAGGGTGGGGTTGGGTGATTGGGGGTATGGAACGTCTGTTGTGATCCAGAGACCAGGGAAATTTTGAGCCTAATAGGCTTCATACCTCTTGTTCCATTCACCTAGAACCTAGGTTGACCAGATCTGCTTTGCAGGTAACTTCCTTCAAAGGTACCTTCAAATGTAATTTAGATAAATTAAGAGGTTAAGAGACCCTTTTTAACCTCTCCAAAGTCTACATAGCCTGGTGTTAATAAAGAGTTGAAGTGGTCTGGGTAAGTAGAATAAGTAAAAAGAAGGTTTGGGAGCTGGGGGTTATGGCTCAGTGGTAGAGTGCTTGTGTGGCATGTGGATGGCACTGGGTTCAATTCTCAGCACCACATAAAAATAAATAAATAAGATAAAGGTATTGTGTCCATCTACAACTAAAAAATATTTTTAAAAAAAGGCTTGGTGTTTGTTTCAAACATGCATTGGGATTGGCCCACATGGAGCTGGAGAAGTGTGACTTCATAAAATTGGGACAAGGATGTTCCATTTAGGTAACCCATAAAAGTAAAGGACCATTTTACATCTAGTAGTCTGTGACTTGAAGATGCTACTTGTGTGACTCAGCCCCTGCCCCTCTGTAAAATAGGTCAGGCCCAAGCATATTTGGACATTCAAATCTTTGGATTTCTTGTTCCTTTTGCTGTCAGGATAGGTGTTTGGACTAAAACAGCTATCTCCCAGTTTGCAGAGAATCATCAGATTACAATTTTAGAGCTAGAAAGTGATTTCTCAATTCACAGAGTCCAGCACCCTTAATTTCAAAAAAGAAATAGCCACAGAAGTTAAATGTGAAGTTAATGCAGTCATCCTCTTATTAAAAGGCAAATGATGTATGCAGTCTAATATAGATATTACCAGCAAACCCAGAATATTAGCACCTGCTACTACCAGAGAGATCATGAGAATCAAGAAGCTATGTCCTGACTAGACCTTTTCCAGACTGTTGCCTCTTCTTGCCTTCTTCAATAGTAGGGGAAATTAGGTTCCCTCATTCGTTGCTTTAGTACTGATTTGCTCCTCTTTTCTTATTTACCCGTTAATACTTCCTCCCATGTTTTTGGACCCTTTGCTGCCAACAGTTCTGGGACCACTAGAACTTATCTTGCCTCCAGTTTAGGTTCCCTCCTCAGAAATCCCATCATTGTGTTGGCATCACTCATTTTTTAAAATATATTTTTTAGTTGTACACAATATCTTTAGTTGTACACAATATTTTATTTATTTGTGTGGTGCTGGGGATTGAACCCAGGGTCTTGCACATGCTAGGTGAGTGCTCTACCTCTGAGCCACAACTCCACCCCAGCTTCATTCATTTGTTTATTTTTATAGTAACAAATTTTTTTGAGAAATAATTCATATACCATACAGTTGACTCACTGAAAGTATATCATTCATTGGTTTTTATTTTTATTTTTGCTGTACTGTGGATTAAACCCCAGGGGTGCTCTACCTCCTCAGCCATTTCAAAGTTAAATTTTTTATTTTTTTTGTTTTTTGGGGTGGGGGTTCCTAAGATTTAACCCAAGGGCAATTTACCACTGAGCTATATCCTCAACCCTTTTTATGTTTTATTTTGAGACAGAGTGTCACTAAGGGCCTTGCTAAGTTGTTGAGGCTGGCCTTGAATTTGTGATCTCAGCCTCCCAAGCTGCTGGGATTATAGGCATGTGCCATCACACCAGGTTATTTTTTTTTTTTAAAGACAGGGTCTATACAAAAAGACCATTTGTTGGGGCTGAGGCTGTGGCTCAGTGGTAGAGTGCTTGCCTAGCATGTGTGAGGTACTGGGTTCGATTTTCAGCACCAAATATAAATAAATAAAATATTAAAAAAAAGATCAGTTGTCCAGGCTGGCTTCATAGTTGGAATCCTCCTGCCCTAGCCTCTTGAGTAGCTAGCTGGGATTACAGGAATGCACCACCACACCTGGTACACTTATTTTTAACATAAATTGTGGAAGATCATTCTCTGAAAGATGAAAATTCAGTCTCTAATTTCCCTATTTTGGGTCCATGACGATGAGACATAGTATAGTATTTAAAACTACCTGACAGCTGAGGCTATCATACTTGCCTAGAAGGTAGTTTTGAGGATTGAGGAAGTATATCAAGCTTTGTTACAGAGGCTTCTGGATGAGCCAGAGAAATGTAGGTGGAGGATAATGTTTATACCAGTTCTCCCTCATTACACTGATTGGTACACCTGTCACTTAAGGAGGTTTGTTCATTAAATGTAGTTGGGGAGTAAGGAAGTGACAATCTTCTCCCTGTTCTCCCATTTAAAGTATACAGTGTCCTAGGGCACATACCCTAGGGATGGATCTGCCTGGTTATTGCTGTCATGATGAGGACTCCTCTGTGGTCATGGTTTGACTAAGCTGGGCTTCTAGTTTCCATCCTTGTTTCCCCCATAATTAGGATAATGGCAATTCCCAAACTTTTTGGTTTGGGGATCATTTTATAAACTAAAAATTATTGAGAATCCTGAGGAACTTTTGTTCCTGTGGGCTAAACCTAATAATGTATGCCATTTTAGAAATCAAGGCAAAAATTCAAAATTGTTATTCATATTTAAAAGAAACTGATGTTGAATAGTTACATATTGCTATGTAACAAATCACTCCAAAACGTAGTGGCTTGAAACATGTGTGATCTGAGTTTCCCATAGCTCAGGAATATAGGTATGGCTTGCTTGGGTTCTCTGCTTCGGGGTCTCTCATGGGCTGTAGTCATCTGAAGGCTTGACTGGGAAGGATCCACTTCCTAGCTCACTCATGTGGTTGTTGGCAGGATACAGTTCCCTGTGGTCTATTGGACTGAGGCCTCAGTTCCTCATGAGCTGTTGGCTAGAGGCCTTCCTTGGTTCTTTGCCACATGGACCTTTCCATAAGCCGCTCACAACATGGCAACTGACTTCAATAGAGTAAGCAAAAGAGAGTGCCAGCATGAACAGAGGAGGAAGTTATAGTCTTTTCTTTTTTCGTACTGGGATTGAACCCAGGACTTTACCACTGAGCTACATCCTCAGCCCTTTTTTTTAATTTTGAGATGGGGTCTTGTTAAAGTTTGCCCAGGCTGGCCTTGAACTTGGGGTCTTCCTACCTCAGCCTTTAGAGCTGCTGGGATTACAGGCCTATACCATTGCACCTGGCAGTCTTTTATATTATAATCACAAAAGTATGATATTCCTTTACTTTTGCCTAATTCTCTCTGTTTTCATTTGTTGTTTTTGAGATAGGGTTTCATCATGTTGCACAAGCTGGCCTGGATTTTGTGATACTTCTGCCTCAACTTCCCAAATAGCTGGGATTTATAGGCATGTGTCACCATACCCAGCTAATTCTTTCTTCATTGGAAAACACTTATTATGTTCAGACCGCATTCAAGGGAAAAGGAGGATCATTGAGATCATTGAGTGCCATGACAGAAGCTGCCTACCATACATGTTACCATAAGTAACTTTAAAAATAAAACAGCAAGGGCTGAAGTTGTGGCTCAGAGGTAGAGCACTCACCTAGCATGTGTGAGGTATTGTGTTCAATCCTCAGCACCACATAAAGTAAAATAAAGATATTGTATCCACCTATAACTAAAAAATAAACATTTTTATTTTATTTTATTTATTTAAAAATTTTTTTTTAGTTGTAGATGAACAGAAGACCTTTATTTTGTTTTATTTTTATGTGGTGCCAGGGATCAAACCCAGTGCCTCACACATGCTAGGCAAGCGTTCTACCACTGAGCCATAACCCCAGCCCCTAAAAAATAAATATTTTAAAAAAATAAATAAAACAGCGAATATTCCAAAATAAAAGTAGTGTTCTTTTACATTTTTTACATTTTTGTAGTTCTCTTTAATAGAAGTTAGCTGAATTCTCATATCTGTATCTGCATTTAATCTGTTGTAATATGCCATTAAAGTATATGAAGACAATCTAGACTTGAGTGTATATGTAGTCGAAATAGGGAGCATTATTGTAATAGCATTTTTTCATCATTGTGGGAATTCTTTGATTGGTTTCTCTTGTACAGTTCCTTATTTTGTATTGCTGGAGATGGAACCCAGGACCTC